ATAGTGTGAACAGAGATTAATGCAAAATATGATAGTGTGAACAGAGATTACTACAAAATATGATAGTGTGAACAGAGATTAATACAAAATATGAGAGTATGAACAGAGATGAATACAAAACATGATAGTGTGAATACAACTTAAGAAAGTTTTGATTTGATCTAATTTGATCTTATTTCAATCTTTAGGTACATGTCTGGATCTGGTGAACGCATTCACATGTGTTTGTCCACAGTCTTTCACCGGCACATTCTGCGAACTCTTTCTTGATGCATGTTCGTCGAATCCATGCGAAAATGGTGCAGTGTGTCAGAACGACGGTACAGGTCGATTCGTCTGTAATTGTCCACCCGGCTTTACTAATCTGCTTTGTAATGAAGACATAAATGAGTGCGGTAGCAACCCGTGTATGAGTGGTGGACAGTGTGTTGACCAGGTTAATAGTTACAGATGTCAATGTGCTGTTGGCTACACTGGTAAGGAATCATCTGCTGCTCTATATGGTGCAGTGAAATGTATTTTACTAAGAAATATTTGCTCATCATTGTTTTGCACTTGATATAATAATAATAATAATAATAATAATAATAATAATAATAATAATAATAATAATAGTTGGATTTGTAGAGCGCATCATGCGAAAAAGGCTCTATGCGCTTGGTGATTGAGCTCTTTGAGTTTGACATTTTGAAAAAAGTTGAAGTTATTTCAACTAACTAAAAAACCTACTCCTTAAACTAAGGCATGGTTGGCTGTTGGCTCCAAAAAGTTCATCTGCCCTTTGTTCAGCTGGTTTTTTTCATGCTGCTGGGTGTCCATCCACTCTCCAATTGGCGGCCACTAAAGACCACCAGATGGGGTTGCCGGAATTATTCGCCGACGACTCGACTGGATGCAGTTTATAACGTCGTACCCAGGACACTATAATATTAATCTACACTTACATATGCTAAAATAAACTAACTTAAATAATTGGTTAAACTATTCCCATAATTTATAAGTGAAGGTTTAGGGTCAGTGGTCAGCAAATCAAGAAAACATAATAATGAATTAATGAAATACTCAGCGTGGACAGTACAGGACATCTACAATTTAGTTAATTCGAAGAAGTCAGATATTTCCATTCAGATTCTGAATAGGAAGTTGGAGCCAAAAGTAAACCATTCTTGGCCAGCCATGCTTACAGACCTAGCTTTAACTGTTGGCAGATTGTGGAAAAGCCATAGGCACATTTATTTCATGTCTTATACATTAAGTAAATACTGCAGCTGGCTTTCATCATTAATGATGGTTACATGATGCCTCCTACTGTGCTATACCAAGATAAAAACGAAACTCTCAATTGTTCTATGTATAGCTTTATGTCTGCATAGTGTAATTATTTTTTATATTCTAAGGTACTCTGTGTCAGTTTGAAACCAATGAATGTTCGTCCAGCCCTTGCTTTGGTGGTGGAACATGCATCGATGGCATTGGCCGATACACTTGTACATGTCCAAGCACACGCACTGGATTACGGTGTGAATTTGAGGCGGCTTGCTCCAATAATCCGTGCCAGAATGGAGCCATTTGTAACCCACCTCCAGGTGGTGTCGGAACCCCTACCTGTACCTGTTTGCCAGGGTTTTCAGGGCAGCTTTGTGAGATCAATATCAACGAATGCTCTTCAAATCCTTGTGGAGTTTATGGTAAATCTATTTTCATTATTACTTTATTTATTCACTTAAAAATTAAGATTATACTTATTTTTATTTTATTAGGATTTGTTATATATTTTTAATTTAGCTGTTTTTGCTGCTTACGGTGATACCAGTCGCCACTGACATCCATGAGACAAATGATAATAAAGGGGTAATACAGTAGTAAAAACATGCAGATTTAATGAATTTGCGAGAAAGTTATTATCCGGGAGATTTTTGTCTTGTTGTGGGAGTGCGGAAGGCCGTCCTGATTTCCTTGAGACCCCAGCGACTGGTGGGTGACTTGGGACCACTGATATCTTTTTAATTACATGTCTTGTACTCAATTGTGAAGAAAATAAAGAAAATTACACGGGAATTATATTGAGATACGGTATTTGAACGTGTGTTGTTATTTTTTTTTTAGGAACATGTCAAGATTACGTGAATGCATATTTCTGTCAATGTCAAGCTGGGTATGGCGGGGACAGATGTACTGACGTAAGATCTGATTTTATTAAATATATATCATATTGTATTTAATAATAATAATAATGGTAGAATTATATAAGGCATCATGCTAAAGGCCTCTGTGCGCATCACATTGCTATTAAACACTTAAGCTGAGCACCAACCGCGCCCGGTGGTCATCGGCAAACGCGATACAATGAAGAATGCAAAACGACGGCACTTGCAAAACAGATCATTTTTTAATGACGGTCCGTTTAGACTGCGATCTCCAATCATCAGATGGCGCCGCGTCGTCTGGTGCTCACAGGGAGCGGAGTTGGATTCGTTATGCGACAGTCGTACAACCGTCGTACGATGCAGTGAGTGCTCGGCTTTATGGAACACAAACTCAGCTCTCCAAAGAGCAGTATTCCGTAACGTTGCAGCAGCTAATCAGCATATTTGACATTCTAACCCTACCATGTATCCAGCCTGGGTGGAGAGAAGCAATGCAGTTGAAGATGACCAGTCGAATAGAAAACTGTTAAATACTCGAAAAAAAATAAAATGGCTGCATAGTTACCACAATTACACGCTGCGTAATTAAGGTTGCTTCGGCTTGTGGAAGTTTTTTGTAATAAAATGTTTTCATGCAATTTTTGAATTATGTTAGCCTATACAAGTATTTTTTGCCTTTATGTGGGTAATATATAATTATTATTTTTTGAAATTTAATCTAACTTATATTAACGCAAATGGTGTTGTTACGCCTGTCAGCATGTCTGTTTTGGTCACATGGATAACTTATTGCAAATTAACACTGATTTACGATAATTTCCATTTATTTTACGGACCAGTTGAATGAAAATAATACTCAGTGACAGATCGCTGTCAACAAAATGAACCAGTCGAATACAGCCATTGTGGGTAATATGTTTTTAATTTTTTTTGTTTTCCTTTTTTAGCCTCAAGAGGTATGCAATCCAAGCCCATGTATAAATGGCGGATACTGTTGCCAACAAGGATTACCCGGTTGCCCTACAAATATTCCTGTTGGTGAATTTCAGTGCTTCTGTCGGAATGGTTACAGTGGTGATCGTTGCGAAATCGAGATCGATCAATGCTTAGCCTCTCAAGAACCGCCATGTTTGAACAACGGCAGGTGTATTGACACGACTGACGCATACATCTGTGAATGTCTGTCGGGCTATACCGGTTCTCGCTGTGAATTTGATATTCCGTGTTCCCCGGATCCGTGTGTCAACGGTGCTTGTCAGATCATTGGCAATACATATTCTTGCTTGTGCAATGACGGATATACAGGACAAAACTGTGATGTCGAAATTCAGCCGTGCGATAGTCTTCCATGTTTGAATAATGGCCAGTGTCAGAACATCGGAGATAACTATCTGTGTACTTGTCCATCAAACTACATCGGAGATCAATGCGAGACACTTGTAACTCCTTGCGACAGTAATCCATGTGTTAATGGCTTATGTAATGTGATCAATAATAATGCATATTTTTGTCAGTGTAACACAGGGTATACAGGTGATGACTGTCAGACACGTGTTCTACCTTGTGATAGTGCCCCATGCATAAATGGTAACTGTTTTAATAATGGCGATAATTACATTTGTCAATGCACGTCGGGCTATACAGGATTCAATTGCAATCAACGGATCATGCCATGTGATAGCAATCCCTGTGTGTACGGAACGTGTATCAATCAAGGTGACGCGTACGTGTGTAACTGTAATTCTGGGTTTATTGGCACGAATTGCGATGCTACACTGCCCCCAGAACCCTGCGATAGCAATCCCTGCTTGAATGGTGGAACCTGCTCTAACAACGGTTATGACTCCTATACATGCCAATGTACTGGGCTATTTAGTGGTAAGTGTCTACTAAAATCAGTTTAATAAACTTTGTTTAGTTAAGTTAAAGCCTAATGAGATTATGAATGGAAATATGTGTATAAAACAAATACAGAAATTAATGGTATTCAATTCAGTTCATTTTTGTTGTTGTTAATTAACAGGCGATAGGTGCGAATCTGCACTCCCAAGTCCATGTGATACTCAGCCTTGCCAAAATGGTGCCCTCTGTGTTGAGGCAGGTTCTGCAAGCGGTTTTACTTGTACCTGTAGAGGGGGATATGTTGGTGATCTCTGCCAGACTACTGTTGTGTCGTGCAGTCCCATAAATCCTTGTCAAAATGGAGGTGTTTGCTATGAAGATTCTGTCGGTAATTATTCTGTTTGTATACATAGTAACCGTTCTTTATCACAATATCAAATGATGTGGGTGTGAATCTAACGAGTGCCTCTTTACGGGTGCTACTGTAGTTACAGACCACAACTTTAATTCAGCTCATGGATTAACCTACCTTTGCATTTACCTTACTACTACTACTGCTGCTGCTACTATTTTTATTATTATTTTAACTATTGATTGAAACTTATATTAAAAACCTTATAATTACAGGACCATTCTGTGACTGCAGCCCTACAAATGGTTACCAAGGTCTGTGGTGTGATCTCGCTGCTGGCGTTTGCTATCCAAATGATCCGTGCCTGAATGGCGGTGTATGCTGGGATTTAAGTGGACAAGTACTGTAATTCCATCGAAATAGTATCACTAAAGGACATTGTTTCCGTAAAATTCGCTACACTGTTTAGAGAATGATAATAGTTATATTAGTAATAAATATATTGAGATTAATTATGACCATGATTATCATGTTTTAATAATGAAATAGCAATTAAAGAGCTGTATAAACACCATAAGAGTGATGATTTTTTGCCCTTCCTGGTGTCTTATTCTGAATACTCAGTATGTTCCAAAATATTTCCAAAAAAAAATTGTAAATGATTGGATGATAAGTGAACCAACAACCTTCAATACCACTAAAAAGTATTTTTTCCTGTCACGAGCAACCCCTTTTAATGAATACTGTAACAATGGTATGCAATGTTATATTACAGCTTTATTGTGACTGCCCTCGTGGGTATGATGGGACATTTTGTCAGCTTGTTGTAGCTACTGGTTGTGATGGTAACCCGTGCGTCAGAGGAGATTGTTTAGAAGATGGATCAGGAAATTTTGTTTGCAGGTAAAGTCTTGCTGTACTTCTAATTTACATAGACCATGAAATTGACACGTGACACATGACCAGAGTCAGTATTTGGAAAAAGTTCTCTTTTATTATAACACGCATATTTATAGATCCTTATCATTTGATTGGTGGATTTCCTATCACGAGACATTGGTTATTTACACCATTTTGTCACTCATTATGAAAATTTTTTCCATCCATGCATTTTTTGTTTCATTTGTTTTGTCCCATTGCACAACTAATACAATGTTTTCATTGGTTAAAGAAGATGGAATATTCCATTCTGAAGAAAGGTAGACCTGACTTTATTTTTCATAAAATATCAAATGACAAGAGTCTATATTAGGTGTGTTATAAAACAAATACTGTAATGAATGATTTGTATTCATGCAATGGAAAGAGTATTTTCATTGAAAGCTAAAATTTTTGAGAAACATTTTTTTTTTACTATTTCTGCGCTAGATGTCCCCCTGGCTACAGCGGAGATCGTTGTGAACTGACGGATGACTGCAGCGTTAGCCCTTGTCAAAATGGCGGCACCTGTAACAATGTCAATGGAATCAACCGGTGTTCATGCTCAAGTGGCTACGATGGACCACTTTGTGAAAATGCTTTGGACGGCTGCGCCTCAAACCCCTGCCAAAATGGAGGGCAGTGTAGCATTACAGGGTCTATATATATTTGTACATGTGCTCAAGGTTAGTCGATTATTTTTTTAATTTTTCTCCTGGCTCATTTTTTTTGCCATTTTTCTGGCTTTCACAATATGGAATATACTATCAGATTTGTTTCTCATCATCAAAGTTTGATCAAACATTTTCTGATTAAAGTAAAAGAATTTTTTTTGATATCCAACAAACATGGAAAAATGCATATGTTTGATCAAAATCTGATCAAACATTGTTTAGTGTAAAGCCCTGTCAAGACTACCAAATATCATTGTGACATGCCTAATGGTAATGATGACATCACATCATGACCATATATAGGCATATCATGACCATGTATAGGCACATCATGTCTATATATGGGCATACAACATTTTTTTGTCAAAGAAATTTTGATAGTGTGAACAGAGCTTAACAGACAAAAATCTGACTCAGATTGCTATACACTGTATTTACTTTGTGTGCAATCAAGAATTTGAAGATAATATTTATTGAAGTATCATATTTTCATTCTTAGGATATACTGGTACTGCGTGTGAATTTGAAATAAATGAATGCATTGGAAATATCTGTCAGAATGGAGCGACCTGCAGTGACCTTGTCAATGCCTATAGGTAAAAAATTCATTCTCAACAGATTTCACAATAAAACAAACAGGGTACATTACTTTTTCATATGCCAACTTTCCCCTGCCAAAATCCCCCCCCCCCAAAAAAAAAAAAAAACAAAAAAAAAACCAATGATAAAACAAAATGAAAACTGCAAAAACAGAACAGAGAAAAGTAGTACATTATAAGTAATAAATGAGGGATCAGAATTATGGAATAATAATAATAATAATAATAATTAATAATAAATTTCACCATATGACAAAACCATAATGCCAATCAAATAAGAAGAGAGGGATATATTTTTAATTTATCAATTTTATCTATATTATTATAGTCTTTTACGCATATTTTATTATTATCTTTGGACAAATGATCAAGTTTTGTTCCATTTTTTTGTAGGTGTGAATGTCCTTCGGGTTATTCTGGCAGCTATTGTGAAATACAGTCAAGTTGTCTCAATTCCCCTTGCCAGAATGGTGCAGTCTGTTTCAACACACCTAACTCTCTCTACGGAACAACTTACACTTGCCAGTGTACCGCAGGGTATGCCGGGGTCAATTGTGAGAGCCTTCAGGACGCATGTGCTCGCAACCCCTGTCCAACCAACGTCCCATGTCAGAACCTGGCTCAAGGATTTTCTTGTAATTATTGTGCGAGTAAGTGTTCTTATTCAAGTGAGATCCGGTTGGTCAAAAATTATTTTCAATATAGGTCTTGACCTAATTTTAGAGTTTATTCCTCTATTTTATTCAGCCAGGCTCCAACGGGGGTGGGGTGGGGGGAAATGTTATATGTTGTACAAGACTCAAAAATGGTGTTTGACTAAAAACTCAGAAATGGTTAATGAGATCATGGGATATGGATAATATATATAGCCTTTTTTCCATTAGGCAAATTTACTTGCGCGAATAAAAAGCATCGGTTCATGCGAATTCACATTTCTATCGGAGTTTTTTTGCTTCAGGTGGCAGTTTGTACTGTTTCTACTTTTCGTGAAGCACACAAATACGCAACCAATCAGACCTCAGGAAGTGAACCAATGCTTTCGATTCATGCAAATAAATTTGCCTAGTGGTAAACAAGGTGGATAGCAATAATGGTACATAGCTTGTTACGTGTTTGTCGTTCACTTGCCAGACGGCTTCACCTATTATCTGCTGCCCTTGTAGCCCATCCTCCTTTACTTTTCTTTGCTGTTATCATTGTATGTGTCTTTTATACACATAACAGCTCAAGACTGATTTGGATGTAACATTTAACATATTCTTATTATCAATAAGTGTTTTTTTTTTATCCAAAGCCGGCCCATGTCAGAATGGTGGTGGATGCAGTTTAGATGTTTCCAATGTGTTAGGCTACACCTGTACTTGTCAGCTGGGCTACACAGGTGTCCACTGTGAGACGAATACTAATGAATGTGCTTCTTCACCCTGTGCAAATAATGGGAACTGCCAAGACTTGGTAAGTACTATTCAAATTGGCCTATCTAACTATTGTTTGTCTGCTCTATATCTAACTTATGTCTATCTATGTATGTTGTTGTTATTTCTACTTTTATATATTGCTTTTTGTAGTGCTGGTCTCTTTCCCTTCAGCCTACTATATTTTTATTTAAAATTTCACAGTATTATATGACATACCTGTCTATTTTATCAATCGTTATTAAATATTCTTTTAAGGTAAATGGATATATTTGTAGCTGTGTAAGCCCGTACTTTGGAACTGTATGCCAGAGTACAATTTGTGACAGCGTTCAGTGTGCAAACAACGCCCCATGCTTGCCGCTCACAACGTCAACATATTCTTGCCTGTGTCTGGTTGGGACAACTGGGCCAACATGTTCACAAAGTAGGTCAAATTTTTTTCATAAATTAACATAAATGTAATTGTTAATTTATTTTTCTTTCAGAAATATATCAAATTTATTGCCGTAGTTGGCTGGGTGTACGGCCACTAATTTGAAAATATAATTATGTCAGGTTTTGAGTGGCACTTAGACCAGACTAGTGAGTCTAATAAATAAGTCTAACCTAGGTCCTACTGAATCCACCTAGGCCTCACAAAGAAGGCCTATGGCAGCCTAGTAGGTTGCCCAGGGTCAGGCCTAGCTCTAATTTTTTCTAGAGGCAGATAGCGCATTTGTAGGGCTTTAAGATCACTATTAAGAAAGTTTGTTTCGTTTTCTTGTCAGGTTTATCTGTACAGATTCCCTTATTTGGTGCCAACAGTTATCTACAGTACAGTCATACATTCACTTCACCTTTGGCCATTACATTGTCTGCTTCTTCAAGTTTGCCTAATGGTCTGATACTTTACACTGTGCCTGTTGTAGAGAATGGTAAGTTTATTCCATCATCAAGATTTATATAATGTAAAATTTCACTCTTCTGTGATGCTGGTTGAATGACCGAGTGGTTAAGGCAAGGGCGCCGCTGCAACCTACGGCCATAATATCAGCAGTGGTTCAAATGGCACGCTATGGTTCTGATTGATGTGGAATAAGTCTTCCCGGATATGGACAATAAAACATAGGCTCAATGTACACATTTGGCTCATGTTCACTGTAAAGAACCCAGTATGTCTTTCGAGACGAGTATGGGGTTACCCCGGTTTACTAGTCCATAAAGACCCTGTTGTTTGCAGACGAGAGTAGCCGGTACTGGTTTACCAGGTAGATCAGACACGAAGAGACCCTTAGGGAAGAGGAAACTAACTGTATGAGTGCTCTGACCTTCATGAAATAGCGCTATATAAATGCTGTAATGTATGTATGTATATTGTGACAATAACTTGTTATATAGCATTTAAGTCAATAGATTATTCGAGCGGTAGAACAGTAAACCTATAAAATTACTGCAATTCTCATTTGATTTCATAGAATACAGAAAAAGTGGTAAAATATATTATTGGTGTGTCTCGACATTAATTATCAAGGCTTTAGAGTTTCCGAGTTTCTTCACTTAAGTAAACACCTAAGCATGCGAAACCGCCAATAATTTTATAGGCCCAGCTGTGTCTTTTAAGGTCGTTTACGTTATATTATATTTTTGCCATTTTGTTGTGTGCAGTTTTACAATTATAATTGTTTTTTTTCAGGCGACTATATCGCTCTGTATTTGCAGTCAGGAAGGATTGAATTCAGAATGAGATACGGTTTGCTTACAAGCATCGTTGCATTGACGAGTCAACAGTCATACGGAGATGGTAATTTCCATACTATAGACATTGAGCAGTCCGGACAGAATCTGCTCATGTCGGTTGATGAGACAGACAGAGTATCTATCGCCATCAGTGGAAGTGCTTTCACTGGATCAAGTAAAGTATATATTGGTGGATTGGCACCGGTGAGATCAAAATTTCTATATATTTGCACTAGTAGATATTTTTTTTACAATTGTATTTTAAAAGTTTAGGCCTATACACTTATTATTTTATATTTTATTATTTTTACCAAAGCTACAGCTACATTTTTGGCAGCAAAATATACGAACTACAGGCCCGTAGCCAGGTTCTTCCAAGGGGTGGGGGGTTTTCTGGGCGTGATGTCCACAGTCGAAGCCCCGGTGGGGTCAGCGAAACCCCCAAAGCAAGAGAATTTTTGTGCTTTATGGGTCTAAATAATGCTATAGAAGCAGATATGTTTGAAAATGTCTGTGTCTGGGTAGGTCTGCAGTGCATTAGTTGGGTTGGAGGACTTATTTGGAAAATTTAAAGAAGGGATTTCGCCAGAAAAGAGGGGGATTTTGCTAGAAAAGGGGATTCTCCTGAACCATAAAACCCCCCTGGATACGGGCCTGCAAACTAGCATCAAACAATAGCGAATTTAATTGCAAAATAATATAGTTAACTCTTCTTTAATAACCTGAAATACATAGAGGACTAGTTAGCATTTTTTTGAAGTCTAAAATACCATACCTAAGTCGTTAACAGCATATAGTATATATTCCTTCATTAAGCTTTTGAATATAAACATATAATTTATATAACGTAAACATACAAGATATCTTTTTATAACGCAATAACATTGCTGCCTTTGTAATTGTTTGAAGGTTTGCCTAGCAAAGTAAGAATTATAAATACTTGCAGTACACTACTTTCTCTCTTTCTAAGTTAAGGTTTGCCTAGCAAAGTAAGAATTATAAATACTTGCAGTACACTACTTCTCTCTGTCTAAGTTAAGGTTTGCCTAGCAAAGTAAGAATTATAAATACTTGCAGTACACTACTTCTCTCTGTTTAAGTGTCCCCTTAATAGGGGTGTCCCCTTAATAGGGGTTTCCCCTTTATAGGGGTGTCCCAAAGGAGGGGCTTTACTGCAAGTATTTCACGTGATGTGCTTTGTCTTTTTTAGGATGTTGTACCACGAGTGTCGTTCATAAGGGACACACTTGACGGCTGCGTACAGGACCTACAGCTGAGTAACTTAGCGATTGGCCTGCTCACATCGTACGTTGCTGGCGCCAATATAGGAAACTGTCAAGTGGACGTGTGTCAAAACATTGACTGCAATGGACGAGGGCAGTGTAATGAATTGGTAAATTACGATCATTAGGGCTGTGTAAACCAAGCATCTTTTTAATTTATTTGTTTTTTTGAATTTCATGTACTGTATGTTCTGTACTATCTCGAAAGTTTAGTCGAGGCTGTCTTGAACAGGAGCTCATGGGCTTCTTATCCAGGCTGCTTTTGCAAAGTAAAAAGGCGGGCTTTAATTTGTGATGGGCTTCTCGAGATTTAGACCATTCGGCTTCTATTCGAGGTTTATGGTATGTTATACTACACACTATGCTAATACACTTAGGGCTAATATGCTAATATATTTTTGTGCATAATCCCTGACCATACTTTGACAATGTTTATTACATTTTAAAATCTATAAATAGCCTGGTAGCGGTTATAGTTGTACTTGTAATTCTGGTTACAATGGGCAAGACTGTGAAGCTTCGATTTGTGAAGGTAATCCGTGTCTGAACGGAGGGACGTGTGTCAATGATCCATCAGGAACTGTCTGTTCATGTACAGTAGGATTTGCTGGACCCGTCTGTGAAATGAGTAAGTAATAATCTTTAATAGAAGTAATAATAATAAATATGTAATTCTTTTTAACGTAAGTAATAGTAATAATAACTAATAAGATGCATATTATATAATTATTTACTAATATGATAATGAATAGGTAATAAAATTAATAATATAGCATTGGAATTAACACCACCAGCATCTTTATCAGCACTCTCATTGTCATCATCACCATCATCATTCTCATCATCACTATCATCATCAGCATCATCATCAACATCCTCATCACAGCCATCCCGAGGCAAAACAACGTAACTCACTACTAACTCATCTACATGTGCAGAATAAAGTTTATATAAATAAAATTAAAGTTATATTGAAAATTTAAAATGTTTTAAATATTTAAAACTCCAGTTAATTTATTAAAACATGACACATTACAACATACAAAAGTAAAATGTACAAACTTGAAAAAGCAATAACAATCAAAAAATGGTATAAATAAGAGAGGCATATACAAATGAACAATTATACTGAGTAGGCCTACAGAATACAGCCAACAGGATTTTTCATTTTTTAACTTCATCATTATCACGATCATGTACTATCATTATCATAATATTAAAAAAAAAAAAAAATTATTATTGTTCCAATCAAACTTAAGCTGAGAACCTTAACCTGAATATTTTCCTTTTTTCAGGTGTTCAAACTCAGGTTCCATCTTTTTCTAAAACTTCATACATCAAGTTTCCTCTTCCATCTGATGCATCCGTCCTCAGCAGCCTTACTTTGTCCATGAAATTCCGTGCGGAAGATCCAGATGGCCTCCTACTCTACAGCCGACAGGATAATATCATGGGCGACTTTTTTGCTTTGTCGTTGACAAATCAAAGAGTGGAATTTGAATTCAATCTAGGTATGTTATTACTTAATGATTTTAAAACTTCACCATGAAGATATCGACTTACTGTTGCCAAAGTTAAGAGTAAAAGTTTTACAGCTTCTCTGTACTAAAGTATACAATACTACCAGGTTTTTTTGTTAATTACACAGTTTAACAATTTAATAATAATAATAATTTATTCACTTATATTTCGCAGTTTCCATAAAAATATGTTCAAATGACGCATTACAGAATAAAAATTCTATTAAAATAGATTAAAATTGACAATTGAACGACAATTTAACGACAGTACGCTGGTTTTAGGATGGCATGCCTCATATCAGTGGTATATCTAGAGGGATGCGTGGATGCGCATGCCCCTTCCCCTAAAAATTATGAGCAATTTTTTTAAAATCACCTAAAACCGCCTTATTTTGCGAATTAGCTCCCCTTAACTGATCATCGAGGCCCCCCCCCATTTAACCTCGTGCCCCACCATCAGCACCCCTATTTCCAGACTTCTAGATACGCTACTGCCTCATATAACAAATTTTGAGAGGTTTAGCTAAGAACAAATATCCACATAAAGTGAAACTATATATGGTGGAAAGTGACAATCAAAGACCATAACCAAGGCAGAGCTTATATGGTAGAGTGTATACGTGTCTCTCTGCCAAAGTAAGAAAAAAAAAATGATACACCATCGTTTCCATGATTGCTAAAGGCGACTGGATCCCGATCTATACACAGTGAAATTTCTTTGTGCTTTTGTTGAATGTTTTATTTGATTGAACCAATAGGTGGAAGTACTGGTCAGCTGATTAGTGACATCATACCCCTCAATACGTGGATCACAGTAGACGTCACACGGACAGGCCGAGATGCGCAGATGCTTGTGACTGGTCAAAGGTTAGCATGATCTGGTGTTTTATTACACTTAGTAAAATTCCTGTAGTTTTCTCGACAGCTTCATCTTCTCAATTTTTAATTCTTAAGTAAATTTTGTTGATTTTTATTTTATCTTTATGTCTGTCCCTGGCTCTCAAGAATTTTTAAATTTCAACTAAAAGCCGTCTAGACTATCAAATGTGATTGGACAAAAATATGTGACATACCTAAATATGGTCGTGATGACATCACATCATCACCATATACTGTATACCACAGGTGGGCAAATTGCGGCCCGATAGCAATTTTTTTTGCGACCAGTGAAAATGAATTAAAAACCCTATGTGTGCGGCCTGCCAAGCAACATTGGCTAGAAAACACTTGTATTTTACGGCCCAACACCGATTGTATGTAAAACGTAACATTAAAACTGAGAATAAAGTGTTGTAAAGCATTGCTTGGAGGTTTGCTAATCTGGACAGCATTTTAGGACTGTGATAGATATTGAGAAAGCATAGTTAAGTACCATCTATTTCATGTATGATGGAAAAATATTTAAAGTTGATTTTGGCTACCAGTAATCTGACATATTCTTTTATAAGTAAAGTAAAATCTTACCTTTAAACAACTATCTGAATGAATTTATTTTCTATGGTGGAAAAGTAGCAACATTTTGAGAGTAATTTAACCATACATTATGTAATGAATCCTGTAATATGTTTATAAAAGCTCTGTCCAAGCTAACAAACTTTATTTGAAAAATACATGTGACATGTCTAAATATGGTCATGATGACATCACATCATGACCATATATAGGCACATCATGACCATATATAGGCACATCATGACTATATAAGGACTTACAACAGGTTTTTTGTCAAAGAAAATTTAATAGTGTGGTCAGAGTTTAATGAATACTGATTATTCATTGAATGGCTCTTGTTTTTTTCATAGTACAAAGCTAGGTACTGCTGCAGGGTCTTTGACCTCCCTCAATGTTAACCCGGAAGTGTTTGTTGGTGGCATGGATGATATCACTGCAGCTTCATTGAGGGCGCAGGTGTTTTCTGGTTTTGATGGTTGCATCTTATCATTAACGATTCAAGGATACAGTTATAGGTGAGAGAGAGATTTATACTGTATAGCGAGTGGCTGAGCGGTAAGGCAGGTGTACCACTAACAACAGCATTAACACGGGCGCTGGTTCCAGCCGCCTTTCGTCTAGGCTTTGGTTGGTAGAACCAAGTCTTCTCGGATAAGGCCTTAAAAAGGAGGTCCTGTGTACATATCTGGCTCGTGTGCACTTTAATAAACCCATTGAATCATTTGGAAAAGTAGTGGGTAAACGTGTAGCTACTATAAGCGCCTCTTACGGCTGCTACGTAGTAATACGCAATTCAGCACAATGACTCTACGAGTTGTGGGTTATAATTCTACCTTTACCTACCTTTATAAATAAAAAAAATATTTAAAGATGTACTGTCTCTTGAAAATAACCAAAATCATAAAAAATAATTTTTAAATTAACTTGCTCATTTTGCAGTAACATACACATTATTAACTAGCATAGAAATTATTAAATTAAAAAAGTGTGTTTCCCTGATTTTTTACCTGGATAATTATAATTAAGATAATAAAACACTTCAAGTGACTGGAAGTGTTTCTATATTTTTTTCGCTGTAAAATGATGGTTTTTATAAGTAAACATTTTTTAAATACACTAATTTCTATGTTCAAGTTGATAATTTTTATGTTACTTCAAAATGGGCAAGGAAATTTCAAAAATGATTTTTATGATTTTTTTTGTTTTTTTGCAAGAGACAGTACATCTTTAATTAATTTTATTATATATGTATCTCATAACCCTGTTGTGGTTGTAGTAATTGTGATGTCTTTTCAGTTTCTTGCAACTGGTTATGGTTATGCATTACCATCTGGGATGCAAACTAAACCTTGAAAACCAAAAATGATTTTTATGATTTTTTGTTTTTGTTTTTTGCAAGGGACAGTACAGCTTTAATTAATTTTATTATATATGTATCTCATAACCCTGTTGTGGTTGTAGTAATTGTGATGTCTTTTCAGTTTCTTGCAACTGGTTATGGTTATGCATTACCATCTGGGATGCAAACTAAACCTTGAATTTTAAAACTTACCAACTTGATTCTGGTTTGAAAAGCACAGTTGATGGATTTGTTATTTATCCAACAGCTTTGACTCGGGTGAGTACTTAAGCGGAGCCAACATTGCCCAGTGTGATGAGGACCTTTGCCAGGCTACACCCTGCATGAACGGGGCAACCTGTATGACGCTCACTGGGTCATACTCGTGTACATGTAGCTCAGGATATTCGGGATTTAACTGTGAGACTAGTGCAGACTTTTGCTTGAATAATAACTGTGCAGCAGGAGCAACGTGTGTTCCCACTGCGACTTCATTCAGATGTTCCTGCACGCTTGGTAACACCGGTGAAACTTGTTCAGATAGTTTAGGTAAGTTTGCTTTCTTCTTGACCTGCCATAATTGGGTATTGCTTCATAGTTTGATGCTATAGCCAAAGGCTTGGGATCATGCTCATAACAGTATGTGCAAAGTGACTACAGTATGTAATGAAGATTACAGAATTTTATTTAAGTGCACTGACCAATTAATTTATGAAGGAAAAAAATACATAAATCATGGTTGAAGCAACTTTTTTTTTCATAATCGCAGATTCCTTTTAATAACATTTAAAATTTATTTTTAAAAATACGTATTTTATTTCCAAATGAATAGGAAAGTTAATATAATTTATTCATGATGTGTAAAGTAGTACAAAAGAATATGAATTAATTTATTTATAATATGTAAAATTGTACATACGAGAAAATGAAAATTATGAGGCAGATACTTTGCAAGTCAACATTAATGATAAAAATTACGATTTGTTTAATTTCGCCTTTATATAATAACTGCATTAGATAATTTTGGATCAAAACATTTTTACAATATAGTTTTAATTATTGTTCTTCTGATATAAACTAAAGTCTCTTGTCTTTCATTGGACAGGTCTGTCGGACTTAATACCAGAGTTTACCGGAAGCTCGTTTATGGAATTTTCACCTCCCACCGGTCTAAACCAGCAAACTCGCGTCAGTCTATCTATAAGGCCTACACAAAGTTCAGGACTCTTGCTATATATGGAAGAATTAAATACAGATGGAGACTTCTTTTCTCTCGGTCTTGTGAATAACATGGTCCAGTTGAGATACAGATTAGGTTTGTGAATTTTTTTTAAAAATAATTTTCTATTTAATCATTTTAATCATCATTTTTTATATATGTAAAATCATGGAAATTTGCGGACAGCTTTGAAATTAATTGCATTTTTGTCAGTGTTGGGTACATTTCCACATGCTCTATTGTGGTCTGTACTCTTCATGTACTTTAAAATATATTAAGGGAAAACATATCAAATTAACCAATTCAAATTAAACAAGAATATTTATATATAAAATTTTCTATAATTTTTCCAAACCACTTGTGGAAGTGGTTTGGCGCAGAGTGGGACAGGTTTGGTGTTCCAACCTTGAGGTCAAGGTTTCAATCCCTCGCTGTGCATTTCACTTGTGTCCTTGAACAACGCACTTTATCTGCATTGCTTCTCTTCACCCAGGAGTATAAGTGGGTACCTAAGGAGGTTCCAGTACAAAATGCGCTGATATACAGTATTTCATGCAGCAAACTATGGAATTTTCCCCATAGGCATTGTTCCAATGACTGGAGTAATGATGTGGAAAAGCGCTCTGAGGCTTAGTTGTATAGAGCACTATATGTGGCAAAGACAAGCCAAACCATGTTTCAGAGATAAAGGCCAAAACATGTAAAAATTTGTGAAATCTATTTTATTGCACTAAACTAAACTTTATATATCTAAATATCATGCTATGCTATTATTTTCCCCATTTTCAATGTTAAAACAACAATTTTTAACAATTTGGTGATGGTTTCTGCCTGAGAAATGCCCGAAATCATAAACTTTGAAAGCCGATTTCTCAGATATTGTTCTTTAAACAGCTGTATGTTTAAACGCTTGTAACTTCATAATGAAACAACAGATTTCAATGATTCTTTTACCATTTTATAGCTCTCATTTTACTTTTACCATTGTATTTTTGCGATGAGTGACTGGTTTGGCTTGTCTTTGCCACGTATATAAACCTACATTTTATTATATAAACAAAATCTGCATATTTCCGAAACAAAAAATCTCGCATTCAATTAACATCTTCTGAAGTCACGTTTATACTTATGACCATAAAACTTCTGGTTTTAAAGATTGGTTGTTAATATGTTTCTGAATATCTCTCCAGACTATTAAATGTTCTTTGAAAATAAAAACTGATGTATGCCCATATACAGTCATGATGTGCCTATATATAGTCATGATGTGATGTCATCATGACCATATTTAGGTATGTCACATGTTTAGATAGTCTGGACAGTACTTTAATATACTGTAGCACATGATTATGACAGTCATAGGATCAAGCACCTAGTAAACACATACTCCCCGGGTTTTACCCGGGGAATAGTCCAAAATGTTGTACCCAATACTCGGCGCATTATTTGTCTATGGTCCCCTTGTTGTCGTCCACTTATATTACTAGATGCACTCTCTGGTCAGTTGACAATTAATTTTCTCTTCTATATTTACCAGGGGGTGTAACAGCAATTGTTAGCAGTGCTACGATCAGCTTAAACAGCTGGCACCAAGTTACCGTCACCCGAGTGGAGCGCACTGCAGACTTGTACGTAGATAACCTGAGGTATACCGGCCAGGCGGGAGGAACGGCAATTAGCCTAACAGCCAATAGTAATCTATATATAGGTGGTCTCGCAGATTTTGCAATCCTCCACCCAGATGGTGGTTTTGTTACTGGGTTTAGTGGATGTATGCAAGACTTACAGGTTTGTTTTTATATTTTGTTCTCCGCCTCTCCCCACCCCCTTCTCCACCCCTTTCTCCACCCTCTTCCCCACCCCACAATGTACACAATATTTAATATGGAGAGGTTCAATCTGGTAAAATTGATCATGTATAATCCTTAATTTTCTATAATCAAGTTTTTAGAAGATTTGTGATTTCTTTTTGGATTTGAACCCAGGACCTTGAGATTGGTAGGAAAGCATCCCCACCATTATGCCACACTCTTTTCTAATCAGGTTTTCAATATAGATATTCATAATATTTCTTCCAACCATGTACATAACATAATGATAAACACTCCCAACTATTCTTATTGCAAGGATGATCTTATTAATGTGTTCCTATTTTGGTATACAGTACTTGTCCCATCTTAAATGTCGTTGCATTGTTGTCAATGTTCATTGCTTTGTTGTCACTTGTCATTGCTTTATTGTCACTGATATTAGTTTCCCTTTCCTGCTATTAACATTTTTGTCGCTGCCAAAAAATGTTAATATATTACTGTTTTATTTTTTCTTATAAATATTTCAGGTTGGAGGAAATGCTTTATCTTCATTATCATGGAGTTCAGCAATAAATGGTCGGGATGTTGGTTATTGCTCAATTTCACCCTGTACAACTTCTACCTGCCAGAATAATGGAATATGCCGTATTATCAGTGACCAGCAGTTTGAATGCATATGTACCTCAGGATGGACTGGACTAACATGCACCACAGGTAGGTCACATTTTGTAGATTAAATAACCAACATAAAATTCTAATAAAAATTTTTCCATATATGAAAAAAAAATAATAACTTATGAAGAGTAATATTTATCTATTATTAGAAAAATATCAGGACTTTATTGATTAATATGACACATTAAAGACCTAACACAAGATTTACATAGAATAATAATAATAATACTATACTAATAATAATAATAATAATAATAATAATAATAATAATAATAATAATAATAATAATAATAATAAAATTCTAATATATGAAAAATTAAAAAAAATAGTCACTTATGAATAGTAATATTTTTTTATTATTAGAAAAAAATATCAGGACCTTATTGATTTATTAATAAAAAATTAATGGTATAAACCCTTAATATGACACATTAAAGATCTAACACAAGATTTACATAGAATAATAATAATAATTTATTATTATTATTGATATTGTTAATAATTAATGTTATATTTTGCATTTATATTTCTTTGATGCACTAATTATCAATTTTTTTTCGATTTTATCTAATTTTTCAGCAACTAATGTTACCATTCCATCCTTTGGAGCCTTGTCATACATCTCCTTCTCTTTTGTTTTGGTAACATCCTCCAACACCGACATAATGCTGGAGTTCAAGCCAGAAGAGAGAAATGGGCTGCTACTATGGAATAGTGAAAATAATGATTACATTGGCTTAGGTTTAGTCAATGGTAGAGTACAGTTTACATACAACCTAGGCTCAGGTAAATATACAGTATTTAGAATCTGATGATGACATAATTAATGTTGAAATATTGAATCCCAACACGATGGCGTGTATTTCAATACTTTGAGTATGTATTATACTGTCTTATCTGAGATTAATCAGTGGACCTTTCGGTTTTAGTATACAGTGTTTATTGTTACGCAGGAAAGATGAAATGCTGCTGATTGTTTGTTGGCAGTCTGAATGGATTGTCATTGAATACAATCACACACACCCTCTGCATTAGGGTCTCCATCACAGAACTGCATCAGCCTTCCATTAGTCACTGTTTCTAAGCCTGTCTTTAAATATATTCGGATATCAGTTTGTGTTTGTTTATTTTGATACAGAAACTTATTTTTAAAGGCGTAAAGATGACCGATCACAATTTCCATTTCAATTCTTTTTTTTTAGGCAGTGCTGTTATCACTAGCTCATCTGAGGTAAATGTAAGCCAGTGGAACACTGTGCGTGCTATCAGGAGCATCCAAGACGGCACCTTACAGCTCAATGGTGCAGCTGCAGTGACTGGCGTATCCCAGGGCTCCAGCGTTGGCCTAGATACCGGTGTGATGACCTATATAGGCGGTGTACCATCCACAATTAGCTTACCGGCAGATATTCAATTCAGTTCTGGTATGATCATTATTTTGAGTTTATCCAGTCTTTTTAATTTCATCATACAAGCATCCGCAAATATCCTAGTATCTACAGAGTGTTCTTAAAAAACTGCCACAAGGAGCGTTTTAACAACTGACCAATAAGAACAGAGCCAAGGGGCGGGGCTTACAGAAAACATTCATTGCAGTTCTTCCCAATTTTTTTTTTGAAGAACGCATTATTAAAATATTGAATTTAATAATAAATTGTATTAAATAAAATTCTTGCTTCAATTTTTGTAGGTTTTGTTGGGTGTATTCGTCAAGTTCAAATCAACACTCAAGTGCTTGATCTAAGCAGTCCCAATGAGGGGTTGTCTATTTCCGAGTGTTTGGATAGTGTCTGCAATTTGCAAAATCCATGCCAGAATGGTGCCACTTGTGTGGACGTTTCATCGGCCTCAGGCTATACCTGCGTGTGTCCTCCAGGCTACCTTGGTAAATATTATTAGAGTATATCATAATCATTAACTATTGGTATGTTATTATAATTACTGTTGTTATTTTTATTATTTTTAATGATTTTTTTTTTTTAGGTACCTTCTGCGATCAAACTGCGTGTGACACTTTGGCAAGTAGCCAACAGTGCCAAAACGGAGGAAGTTGTTATATAAATGCAAATGGCCAGACTATGTGCTTATGTACCATTAACTACACTGGAGACCTTTGTACTGAAAGTAAGTTCCAAACATAATAATAACCTAAGCAATAAAAATGAAGATCAGATTACTTCTTGTTATTTCCAAAAATTGTTTAATACAAGAATTTAAGAAGGAAAATAAATAACATTTTGTTAATTTTATGTTATTGCTATGCTGTCTTAGTT